GTTTATCTACCGCCCTCAGGTAGATTACAAAGGGGTCGATTAGCCCCCAGGTAGGTTCTTGTGTTGGAACATTAAAAAATAAAAAAGATTGTTTTATTTAAAAAAGCTATTATTTATTTACCAAAGCTAAAACATATACATATTAAAATAATATAATTATAATGCAATATATCGGGTACTATTATTTAAAAACTATTTTTCTATCCTCTTATACCTATGAGACATAATTTTAACAAAATCAAATATATTATAGGCATTGTCATTTTGATTTAACAGAGAAATTTGTTTCTCTGCAAATTCGTTCCTCAAACGTGCTTCTCTCCGATACACTTTTTTTGGTAAACTTAAACTTTTAATCTTTATGTAAGTATCTATTTAAATATTTTTTTAAATCTCTAAAAACGGAAAAATATTTGGATGTGGAGAATAAAACAGAGCATTAAATTTTGCATGAAAACTTTCACATGCGTTGGTGGTTCGCTGAATTGAGGAACTGTGTTCAGCCCACATGGAAGGAGGAAATAATGCATCGTCAGCAATGTAATTATCTACCAGATAATCCGAAAATTTAACTATAGGTTCTGTGTTTGGCATTATTGCAGCTAAATCAATAGCGAAACAATCCCCAACCATTTCTGGGTTCAAAAATGGTAGCCCAAAAATATATGTTAAGTAATTCCCAATATCAGAATTTTTGGAATACTCTGAGGCCAATCCAAGACTCTGTATTTTTACCTATTTATTTTTTAGATATTGCCTAAGACCCTATTAAAATATTTAGGTATATGTAATGTATAATGTACAATAGTAACTGCGATACTCAAAATACTGTCAGAGTTTGCTTTTAAGTGAGTGTCCTTCCTGGAAATAAATCATCCCTCGTAAATTTAGTGCCGGAGCGAACTTACCTATGACCTTTTCGGGTCGGGGATTAAAATCTGACCGCCGGAGCGAACTAGTGTGTTCCGGTCAAAAGATTGGAAAAAAAGAGACCTTTAAGAAGAGCTATCACATGATACCCCTTTCTATTTAAAATGTTAGAAGTGATATTCACCACCGCTTAGGGGATGAAACTGCACGGTTACAGATACTTGTAAAATGTGTCCCCCCGTAAATATAAATTAACGTGTTTTTTGTTTTAAAGATATTTTAAAACTTATTTTGGGTGGCTAGTTTTGAAATGAAATCCCTGTATGTTTATGCTGATCTATTTTTTGATTGGTTAAAAAATCATTTTACCCCAAGAAAACCAGTTGGAAAGGTTCTTCTTCTTCTTCTTGACGGTCATACATCGCATACCAGTTGTATTGAAATGATGGAGTTTGCAGAAAACAATGACATAATTTTAATGAGTATTCCTCCCCATACAAGTCATTGGCTACAGCCATTAGACCGTGCTTTCTTTAAGTCTTTAAAAAGTAATTACTACTACCTCTCGAAAAATTACTCGACTTCAGTTTGGCACTTTACTTAGCTCAGCTTGGGGGAAGTCAGCAAAAGTTGATAATGGTGTTAATGGATTTAAAACATGTGGCATCATTCCGTTTGAGCCCCAAGCTATACCGGACTTTGCTTTTTTATGTGAAACCACTGCCTCCACAGATACTATTCCCAATCAAAGTGTCCCAATACCTGCAACACCCCAGGCAGCACACATTAGTATAACTAACGTATTTTATACGTAATACTCGTTTAATTTTGGTATTGGTTGATTCCGTATACGTTTACAGTTTACGATTATTATACATACCGTGTTTTAAACGATATATTATACGTTTTTTATATACATCCTATGGTATATAATTGTAAATTTTTCTACGTTTAAATATAGTTAACAATATACGTCTATTTTTAGTTTGCAATGTACTATTTATATACAGTGGGCCTAAATATATGTTTAGGTTTATTTAAATTAAATTCGTATAAATTTACATTAACAGATAAATTAAACGCTTGTGTTTTTCGATACTAGTTAATATACCTATATTATTCTACGTTTAAATATAAGTTACCGTAAACGCATAATACCAGTTTACGATGAACTAGTAGACAGAAGTAAATAATATGTATATATTTAGGTTTATTTAAATTAAAAGCTTATGGATATATTTATTTACATTACATCCATATTTTTTTAATTATATTACCTGTTATATTTATAACAAATTCCCCATAAACATGGAACTATTTTTAGATGGCGGATGGAGGATGACGTACTAGTGGTACGGTCTTTTCTCATTTCTACTCATGCGTATGTGTAGTATTATTGTTCAGTGTAGTGAATGGTTTGTGGGAGCAGGTTCATCTGTTCGTTCATTTTCATTTTTGTACACGTGTGGCGTCCTGGCTTTTACGATATTGATTAAAAACATTGGTAAGTTTCTATTAATGTTTTAATTTAGCTACTCCTTTAATAATTGTTGCATTTTACAACAACTACTGTTTTATAGGTACGTACAGTGTGTTAAATGATTATAGAAACTTCAAAACATAACCTTACTTTTGTTTCTTTTATTTTTATATGTATTTTTTAGGTTACCTAGTTATTCCAAGCATACTTATTTTCCTTTTTTTTTGGTCAGTTGTTTTTTATTTAATAAAATGTCTAAAATAACCCTGTCTCTGCGTCATCTACGTAGAAAAATAGCGGAAAATGTTCAAGATGCTTTAAAGTCAAATCATTTTTTTTTTATTCCCAATGAATATACCATTAATAAAGCTTCGGACATTAATATATCATCTGATTCTATTATTTATAATAATTTCCAAGAAAATAATACAAATTTAACTTCGGAGCTTTTAGAAAATATTTCACCTGAAATTGAGTTACATTTTGGTTATAGGAATGGTGGTGAACCAAGCGACTTAACCGATCAAACGATTAGCTGTGCCATGCAAGATTAGCTTAAGTTAGCTAAGGCCCGTCTAGGACACAACACATCCAAAGATTTTTATTTTCATATATATTTTTTGTTAGTTAAAGAAAAGTTTCGTTTAGTTTGTTATTCAGTATTTTAGTGTTTATTTTTTTGTATTTATTTATTTTTTAGTATTTTCTTGTTTTTTATTTTAAATAAATATTGTTCTGTACATATAACAAGTGATCAAAAAAATTCTCTAAATTTTTAGGCCAATTATAACCAAAATAGAAACACGAGTAATGCCTATTTCTGGTGTAAACACACCTGCTATGGATAAAATCCAAACTATCATTTAAGAAATATTAACATTTTTCCATGGCCTCTTTTATAAATTTTGTTTTGATAACTTTATTTAATTTGTGTTTGAAATACATTTAAAACAATATCAGGTAGACGCATTTTACACATTAATAAAAATCATACAAATATATCTAATATAGACGTATAGTAAAACAGGATAATTAAAGGTAGATAAAGTAGTAATGTTAGACGTATAAAAAATAAAAAAAAAATATACGTTTATAGGGCGGACATTTTCACATATATATTGGGTAGCATATCAACAGTATCCATACGTATATTGTAGTACATAAATAAACGTATTTTATACCAAATTGAATTCGTATAAATATACTACAACTATAAATCTAATATAGACGTATAGTAAAAACGTTTAATTATAGGTGGATAAATTCTTAGTAATCGACGTTTATAAGGCGGACATTTTCACGAATATATTTGGTAGTACATCAACCATATTCATACGTATGGTAGTACCTAAAAAAATACGTAATTTATACCAAAGTGTGCTGCCTGGGACCTGAACTCAATGGGCCTTTAGAAAACAACAACCCATCAGCAAATGATCAACTACCTAATGCTGGGCTTAGTAATTTGTTAAATGATGTACATCCAGTGCCTTGTGCCAATAAAGAGAAGAGCTCAAACTGTAGCAACTGTTTTAAACTCTCAAGAAAATACTGATTCCCTAAAAAAAAAAAAGAAAAAGAGGAGAAAGTTAAAATTAAAGAAGAGAAAAAAGCAGAAAGGGAGAAGAAACTGAAGAAAAATTATATGAAATTACAAGCAAGAATTATTCAAAAGAAGAAAATGCAAAAAAAAGAAAGAACTTACACCTTCTTCTGAATCAGAAGATATTGACATCTATAAAATTTGCAATGATGAACTTTATGAAAGTGATCTGGACTGGAATGAAAATAAATGTGTTTATTGTGGGAAATGTACAATGAGACTAAAAAAAAAGACGATAACATGCTCCCGTTGGACTCACGAAGGCTGCACAAGATTTGATAACCTGTGTGATCTCTGTGAAAAGAGAGAATATAAAAATACATTTTAATTATTACGTATTGTTTCTTTTTTTTTTAACTTTTTTATACTACCATCAATGTAGCCTACATAAAGTTTAATTTTTATTACTAGAATACTTTGTTTTTTTATTTTTTCCTAAATTTCAGATACCTAGATATTTAATTATCCCTTGTAGTCTATCTAACCCGGATAGCACCGGGGTAGATGGACCACGTAACGGTTTTAAAAATCATTTTTTGACTCGTAAGTTTTCCTTGTATTAATAAAATAGGTGAACAATATTGTTAAGTAGTCTATAATGATTGTTGGGTTTATTTTAAGTTTTTCTCTTTTATAATTTTAAACAGTAAAATTCAGTTTGAAAAACTTCTATGTTTTATTTTTACAATTTTTATACTCTCACAAGTATTGTCAAAAAACCAAGTCACTACAATAAATTATATCAATATATCCTTAATCCTATAAAAAAATATATAACAATGATAATTAAATTAAATTATTCCGTTGCATCAATTTTAAAACATGTATAGCTTAAAAAAGTGGTTCATCTATCCCGGATTTACCCTACTGTAATTTTAGTTTGACAAAAAGCGTATAGCTAGTTTTTGTTATACATGTTTTTTCGAAATGTACTCCTGTTCCGTAATTGGGTTAAAACCTGTTGAACATTTTATAAATAAATAAATCTTTTTTTATTGTAAGTCAACCAAAGTTCAACATTAAAATCGTAATTTATTTTCGTTTCAGACTCTCAATTCTGGATGGATACAGGGTGAATACAGTATCGGCTGCGCTCCTGTAGACTACTCTGATAGGCCGACTGCGGTAAAAATGGTATCCCAATTTTATTGGCTCTATTTGCTGAAAGGAGCAGAGTTAATAGAAACTGTATTTTTTGCTTTAAGAAAAAAATTCAACCAAATTAGCGGGCTGCATGTCTACCACCACGCATCCACATTTTTCCTGTCCTATATTGGATGCAAATTTATTGGAGGTAAATATTAAAATTTTATTTTATGGACTGTGATCGAAATCTAGTATGTTTATTAATACGCAGAAGGCACTTTTATTATGTTATAGAGTATTTGTTGACAAAACAAAGATGTTCTACTGACTTACGTAGTATTGAAATTTATATATATTCAACTGTAAAAAGAAGGTTATTATTTAGTTAAAAACTGACAAACGGAGATGGTTTTATAAAATTTCAGTTATCGGAATATGTTAAATCATTTAGATTCAAAAAAAAAGATGATTGGGCCAATTTCGCAAACAAACAAAAAAAAAGAAAGGCAAACGCCATTTTACTTTTTATTAGATTCTAATGCCCTATTTAAAATATTACTTGAAACAAATTAGAGTGTATTAAATAAAAATGTAACTGTAATTTAAATGAAGATTCCAGAATCATCAACAGTTATTTTATTTCATGTATTAGTTCAATTAACAAAAAAATTAAAAACATTTTAAATAAGGTATTTAGATGATTGGTTACAATTTTAATGTCTGCATTAAAATGTTTATTTGTTTGTTGAATGTTATAACAAAAATTAGCCATGAGAAAATAAGTCACGTGCATGTCCATTCACGTACTACTTTAAAACGTTGGCCCAGCAAAATTGGTGGAGGATTTACCACTTGTAATGCCTGTAGCTAAGCGCCACAGTCTGAACGTCGCGCTCACGTGAATTTGTTGCACACCAATTTAATAATAAATTCAGCCATAAGAAAATAAGTCACAATTCTGCATGTTGGTTCTAAGACAATGTGTATTTGATATAGGTTATATGAAATTGATTAAAATAATAGTTAATAAGTTTTTAATAATTGCTTAAAAGTCCGAAATCCGAAATGGAGAGATATTTTTCTGAAAAAGTGTGTTCCATCAACAGATTCGGATATCCTAATCGATAATTTTTGAAATAGAGATACCAATTATACAGTGAGCATCATAAGTCTTACCCCCCCTAACTAACTCGTTACTGGAGTCTTGTTAGGAAAATCACCGAGACAGGTCGATTTTTGATTTCTACAATATTCTGTCAATTACGTTTCTTTTTAATTCTATATTATTTTTGTTACATTATATGAAATCTTTAGGTATTATTTTTTTGTTAATTTTTAGGTGGTATGGCTTCTGTTCCCCTCATAGTTAATTCATTCATACATGTTCTGATGTACACCTATTACTATTTGTCGTCAATGGGACCAAGGTGGCAAAATGTTCTTAAACCTTGGAAACCAAGACTTACTATGTGTCAAATGGTAAGTACTTACTGTTTCAATATTCATTTTTGTTAAATCAAATCCTTTAGATTGAGTTTTTAATTAGAAAATATTCAGGATGTCCGGAAATATTAGTGGAATATAATAGTTTTTGAAGAATGGCTAGATGAAAACATAATTGAACAAGTTTTATAATCTGAGTTAGATATTGAAAGCCATTACTTTCCTCATAGACAGGTAGTAAAGTTATCTAGTGCCACAACAAAACTTCGTCCAATATTTGACGATTCTGTCAAAGAAGGAAATAATCCCTTGTTAAACCAATGTTTTGAAAAGGGTATTACTTTAGTAGAGTTGATTCCATCTATTTTACTTCGCTTTAGAATGGGAAAAAATGGTGTAACTGCAGACATTCGTAAAGCTTTTCTTCAGATTAGTTTATTTGAGCAAGATAGAAATGTTTTACGATTTCTTTGGTATGATAAATACGGAAAACTCGTAATTTATCGCCATGTATTTAGAGCTCGATTTAGAGTTACAAGTAGCTCATTTCTTCTAGCAGCTGTAATCAATTATTATTTGGAACAAACCCTAAACGATATATATTCTGGAAAATTCACTTACTCCATTTGCACTATATCCAAATTACTGAAAAGATTTTATGTTAACAATTGTGTTGCTAATTTAGACAGTGAAGACGATCTTCAGAAATTCATTGACGAAGTGCGAGTAATAATGTCAGAAGCTCAATTCGATTTCAGATTATGGGAGTTTGCAACACTACAAAAAGAAGAAGGTAATAAGATGTCTTCTGTTGTTGGTCTAACTTGGAATAGGAATTTGGATACTTTAGAAATGTGTTTCACTGGATTTGAACATTTAATAACAGAAAAAATAACAAAAATAATTTTGTCGGTTGCAAATAGCTTTTTTGATCCAATTGGATTTGCATGCCCTGCTCTTCTTCGACCAAAATTCTTGTTACAACATAGATTTTAAAACTAGATTGGACTGCAGAAGTTCCGGAAGATATCAGAGATGTTTTTTAATTGGTTAAAAAATGTAAATAGTCTAAAGTATCTGAAGATTCCTCGCTGGCTTTTACACGAAGTAGCTGGACAAGTGCAGTCGTGGAAAAAACACCTATTTTGTGATGCTAGCAAATACGCAAATGCTGCAGTTGTTTTTTTGAGATTTGAATTTAAAAAAGGCAATTCTGTTCAGCTAGTTCAGGCAAAGAATGTTATCAATAAAAGCTATTTCAATACCAAGATTGGAATTATTCGCTGCAACTATAGGTGCAAGATTATTGACATTGACCATTAAGATTCTATAAAGCAAAGACATCAGAATATTTTGTTGGACTGTTATTTCTTATATTAAGAGAGAAGATAATTGGAAAAGTTTTGTCAAAAATCGGATTGAGGAAATTCAAAAGTAGACAAAACCTGATTGTTGGTATCATGTCCTTGGACATTACTTAAATCTCGTTGGTGTCTCCGTCCTATATGGTTGAAGAACAATCGAGATGATTGACCAGTACAAGAGTATGAAATACTAGATGTAGATTTTGTTTCGAAAAAAAAAAAAATACTTCTATTATACAGGGTGGCCCACCACATTCGCCTCGGTTTTTCTACGAGAAATGATAAAAATTGGGTAAAAACTTTTAGCAGTCATGTGTGGGTCCATGAGTAGCATATTCCAAAATATACAGGGTGACCCAAAAAAGGTGCATATCAAAGTTATATTTTTTTTTATGGAACATCCTGTATTTTATTATATTTTTAGATACTATAGACCAAATAAAATTAAGTTACTGTTATATTTCCTATACCTAAAACTGACCGTTTCTGAGAAATTTTGAGAAATTTAAAAATACAGACCTTAATTAAAAAATTGTTTGCACCCTGTAACGAGCTGCTCATAATAAAATTTACTGCTTAGCTAAAAGGTTAAAGTTAACTACTACATAAAAGTTTTACTTCAATATTATACAGAATGGTGAAAAAAATTGCCTCAAAGTTTGGACACACATTTTATTAAATAACTTCTTAAAGTTAAATGGAACACCCCGTATTTAGTGGCCTGTTTTGACGCAGAATTAGATTCCCTTTAAAACTATATTAGGGTTCCCTTATCTCTTCCGCTTTTTACGCAGAAGGTGTTTTTATATTTTACTTATGAATAATTTCTTTATCTTAAAAATGGAACACACTTTATTGTAATGAAAAGTCTAAAAAACATTTTTGAATTCATTTTATTGAAAAATTAAGAAACCTAAATAGTAAAAGAATTATTATTTTAATAAATGCTCAAAATGGTGTCCATTATTCTCGATGCATACGCGAACTCTTTCTTGAAATATAACTTTGATGTGTACCTTTTTTTTTGGAATATGTTCCTCATGGACTCACATATGACTGTACTAAAAGTTTTTCTCCAACTCTTTTCATTTCTCGTAGAAAAACAGATGCGAATGTGGTGGGCCACCGTCTATATTCTATTAATTAATCATTTCGGAAACGAGTAACAATGTACAAAAGTATGGATTAATCGTCTCATTTTGAATTAAATAATCTTCAGCTGTTCTATTCCCTTTTTAATGGAACACACTATATGAAACTGCTCCCGTTATTTCGTATAGCATCACTAAATTTACATTTTTATGTTGCAGATACAATTCACCTTATTGATAATTCATTCCCTATCCGCCCTGCAACCAGATTGTGAAGTACCGAAGCAATTTCTTCTGATTTACGTTCCCAACGTGATTGTTATCTTCAAAATGTTCTACGATTTTTACCAGTCAAGCTATACCAAGTCGACCAAAAGTAAAAAAAATGAGCAGAAAAACGGTCTAAATGGACACAAGAAGAGTAAATGATTTTAGTAAAACAAATTTAAAACTATTTTGGAAACGTCCATGTGAATCTCGTAAGATCAATCGAAGAAGTATTTGAATAATACCTACTTGTACATACAAATTACTGTAATAATTATAATAAAACTTTAGGTTACCAACTATGTTTTATGTACCGAGTTTTGTATGAGTAATTTACGAACCGATGTACATTTATAGGGTAGAGTCGAGTTGGATCCGGCATAATATGAATGACCTGAGATCGAAAAAGGTAAGGTACGAGTTGGAGCCGGAATATTTTCCTAGTATTCTAATCAGTTTCGTAAGAATACTATGCATTGTTACCAATTGGAATGGAATATGTAAAAACCACAAAAAAATGGTTAATAAAAAAACCTATATTTGACAATTTTTATATACATGCTAGTCAAGAGCAAACCGAACACCTTGAACTTTTATGAGATTTCAGGTAATACCAATAATAACAAAAGTTAGGGTCTTGATTATTTTTTGCAAACCTTCGGAGTTTTTATTTTGATAATTTTTAAAAAGAAATCTACGAAAATGTTGTGCTTTTTGTTTTAATAAATATCTAGTAGTTTTTAAATGGGAGATATTCCCACCTCTTTTTCTTAAATTTCTCAATAAAGTGTTGACTTATCGTTGCACAAATTTAAAGCTCTTGATATTCTCAAGACATATAACATTGCGAAGTACTCACAGTGGCGCGCATATAAATAAAATTTTATATTAGAAACTCCTCACATTTTTGAATTTCGCGAGAGGCTTTAAATAAAATTAAAAATATAAATAATATCTCTAAATAATATTACTTATCACAAATTGATTTTAAAATAATAATAGATATGGAATTTTGTTTTGGAAAAGTACTTTAATTTTCTCTTATTTTTAAAATAGTCATACTTCTTATTTTAATATAAGTATTAATTTAAAATTATTCACGTCCATTTCTAGATAGTGGTGTAAATTAGGAGTGTAAAAAGATTGGTCATAATAATTTTGAAATTATTCACATCCATTTATCGTTCTAGTTAAGAAGAAAGAATCTGATAATAACGATCGACTAAATATTCGCAAAATTTGGTTATTTTCTCATTTTGGGATTATAATTCTACGAAACCAATGGTAAAGCTGTCGCCTACATCTTTCGGTTGTAAAACTGTTAACCCTAAAATAAATCTAAGATATTTCGTAACCAGATAAATAAATATGGCAACAATGGCAGCTACTTATCTAAATTTTAATATTACTTTGTGGAATTCATGATAATCCTAACCGGATCCAACTCGGTTGCTTTAGGCAGGCTCCAATTTGACTCTTCCATATTTAGGTACATTTTTATTTATGTTAAAAAGTTACAGATATTTAAATAGAAATTACAACAAAGTTTATTAACATTAAGTAGGTAAATATTTATTTGGCAAGATTTTTTTTGTAATTGAAATTGGTTTTTATTGTCCTAATGCAAAAATTTTACAAATAATAAATTTTAAAAAAATACACAGATGAGGAACAATATGAAGTTTTATTTTAAACGTATTAAGAGCGTTATCCATGTGCTAAAATTGACAAAAGTAATTCCAAGATTCCAGGCCTATTTTTTTATATGTTTTTATGAAATTTGGCATGAATATTTATGGAATCGTGCATAATGAGGCTACGGAGTCCAAATTTTGATATATCAAAAAATTCATTTTTAATATATCAACAAAGCAAAATGTAAAAAAAAAACGAGTCTGTAGCCGTATTTTTATTCAAAAAATATGATGTTTTTGTTTCTACAAAGCCTATTTTTGTTGTAAACCTGAAAATACTAAAAATCTAAAAATGTATTTAGCATTACCCGAGATAATAACTACTTATTTTTATGTATGAGAGAGTAATAAAACAGCATTTCTAATGCAAAACTTAGTACGGTCATTTTTAATATTTTTACAGAATAATCTAAATATTTCCTAAAATTGTAATAAATGTACCTGAGCAATTACAAGTTTTGGGTCTTTTATTGGTCCTTTATAAACATAAGCTGTACAGACCAATAGAAAAGGGTTTGGACAGGCCAAAAGCCCTGTGTATTAAAGATTACATAGCCGTATCTTAAGATTATTTTCAATAAGTACCTATTTGCCAATTTTGTTTTATTTTAATTCCAAAAATTTCTTACAGTAATCGAATTATAAGTAGATAAATACCTTCCCAACAAATTTCACCGAAAATGCGATTATAGGTTTTCCATTTAGTAAGGAGGTCCAAGTTGTGTATTCTTGACAGTTAACTAAATGTCGTTTAGTTGCAACTTGCAAGGTGCAATGTGAATTCTAGTGTGATCATGGAAAATTTGGAAGGGCCGCGTAAACGACAAAAAATCGGTCCTTTAACAGTTAATGAAAAAACATTAATATTTAATTGTTTTAAATCATTTACAGACAAACATTTATGTAAAAGTGTTGATGACACAGTGGAATTAGTTAGTAGTACGCTTGGTGTTGGGAAATCTACGATTTACAGAGTTGTTAAAGAAGAGAAATGTGGCGAGTTTCAAACAGCACGTAAAGCTCCAGGAAAACCCCCAAATTTCAATTAGAAAATCTTTTGAAAGAAAGACTTCGAAGGAAAGTGCATGCGTTCTTCTTTAGAAAAGAATTTCCGACAGTAGACAAAGTTCTTGCCACGGTTCGAGATGATAAGGATTACCCTGAAATGAGTCGAAGCACACTATGGAAACTTTTAAAAGAAATAGGTTTTCTATGGAAAAAGCATTCCAGAAAGTCTAATTTTTATAGAAAGAAGCGATATTGTAGTATGGAGAAGAAATTACCTAAGGAATATAAAAGAAATGAGAAACCAAAGAAGAATAGTTATTTTCCTAACAAGTGCGGAAAGTGTTACTTTCCCGCACGCGACTGCAGTTGGCCCGAACGACGCGAAGCGGAGTTCGGGCAAGCGGTCAAGTGCGGGAAAGACACTTTACGCATGAGTTAGGAACATTATTTTTTCTACGACCGTATATACAAAAAAGTAGGAAAAATTATTTTTGGAAAATTATTTTATTTCAACATATACAAATCTTTAAATAAAAACAACTAATTATTATGGATATTAATGTTAAATACACAATTTGTAGCATTTCGTAAATTATGTAAAATTGCCGGTACCGAGGAATTAGTTGGTGTTAATTGGATGTTAATAGTCGTAACGCTCGTAGATTGAAAAGATGACGTGGACGGGAGTGACATCGGTTGTAGGTCACATGAAGGTGAAAATGACGGTGGCAGCAAAGGTTGCAAGTCATTTCTATTTGAAAGAATTTTATTCGAAATGTTTTTCTTCTGTGTTTCGGAGTCCTCCAAATAGCCTTCAGCGATAGTAGTGGACTTCCAGCCACCGAGACGTTTTATATTGGTTATCGCTTCACCTGAGTCTGCTAGGAATGTTGCTGAAGAACGTCTAAAACTGTGTCCTGTATATCGTTCAGGATTAGGTAGACGCAAATATGCAGCAATCTCTGTTGGCATCTTACCAAAGGTGTTTACGCCAACGCACTGAATTGAGCATTTTCCCTTCTTATAAGTAATAAAGAAGCGGCGATGCGGAGTGGTAGGTGGTCGTAAACCTGCGTACTTTCTGTACAGCTTCAGAAAGTTTCCATTATTTATTTCTTCACATAAAACAAATGATCTTGAAGAATGATTTTTGGAATCGGAAATTTTCACTACTATCAGATTGCCTTTATCTTGTATATCAGAGAGTGATATTTACAAGCTCCGCTCTGCGGAGAGCACCAGCTAAAGCAAAAATGGTACTCACTTTAATCATAAGGTATACCTCATCAGGGGCTAACATAAACCTGGATATATCTTCTTTGGTAAAAACCTGCGCCTTCTGTGCTCGAAAACCAACATTTTTTTGTTTTAGAAATGGCGTTAACTTATGGAACTGGCTTATATCCAAATTTTGTTTAATTTTTACTAAACTGTTCACCATCGAATAGTGAGACCATAAAGTATTAGATACGCCAGAAACACCTCTTCTTTGTAGGTTTTTACCCCTTCCTGTTTACACCATGTGACAAAATGGTCGTATTGTTTTTCATATCTTCCTCGTGATTTGGCAGGTAACACCTCCAAATGTGCTTCATTTGCAGCTTTTAAAATGGCTTCGCGCAGCTCTTCATCCGATGAATCCATTATTTCTTTAATTTATTTTAATTCAGTTGACGCTTCAACAAACAACTTTGACGTTTTTGTAACAATAATACGCCTTGGTTACCATATAGCAACCATATCAAGCCATACATGTCACAGCCTAGTCTGACTTTTAAAAATATACAGAAGGTATATAAAAATATCTCTATTATTCAAGTTTTCCAAAAAATTAAAATTATAACAAAAAGCAAGAAAAAAAGTAAATTTTATTAAATGGAATAGTTGGAAAATACTAAATTACCTATTGTAACAATAGTTATAACATCCGAGGTAAAAAAACTATACAATAGGTAAGGCTAAATATTCATAATTTTACTTTCCCGCACTAGTGCGGGAAAGTGATTTTTTCCCGCACTAGTGCGGGAAAGTGACACTTTCAAAACTAAAATGCGTGCGGGAAAGTGGGTAATACACGGTCGTAGAAAAATATATTTTATTTAGATGAAACATGGATCAACGAGGGACATAAACTAAATAAATTTTGGTAAGATGAAACTGTTACAAGTCGAAGACAGGCTTTTTTAAATAATTTATCTACTGGTTTAAATCCACCATCAGGAAAGGGGCGCAGACTAATAATAGTACACATCGGTAGTTCAAACGGTTTTGTTAAAGGTGGTTTATTGACTTTTGAATCTACTCGTACCGGTGACTACCATGAGGACATGAATGCTGATGTCTTTAAAGAGTGGTTCGAACAAATTATAGATCTTCTTCCTCAGAACTGTATAATAGTAATGGATAATGCAAGTTATCACTCGAGACTTATAGAAAAAATGCCCACAACCAAG